CTTTCCTCACTCCAACACAAAACTACATGTCCTTCCCTCACTCCTACACAATACTACAAATAATTCCCTCACTACTACACAATACTACAAGTCCTTCCCTCACTCCTACACTAAACTACAAGTCCTTCCCTCACTCCTACACAATACTTTAAGTCATTCCCTCACTCCTACACAAAATTACAAGTTCTTCCCTCACTCCTACACAAAAATTCAAGTCCTTCCCTCACTCCTACACAATACTGCAAGTCCTTCCCTCACTCCTACACAAAACTACAAGTCCTTCCCTCACTCCTACACAAAACTACAAGTCCTTCCCTCACCCCTACACAAAACTACAAGTCCTTCCCTCACTCCTACACAATACTACAAGTCCTTCCCTCACTGCTACACAAAACTACAAGTCCTTCCCTCACTCCTACACAATACTACAAGTCCATCCCTCACTCCTACACAATACTACAAGTCCATCCCTCACTCCAACACAACATAAGTCCTTCCCTCACTCCCCACACACACTGCAAGTCCCTTCCCTCATTCCTACACAATACTACAATTCCCTTCCCTCACTCCCCACATTGCAAAACTACAAGTCCATCCCTCACTCCTACAAAACATACCAAGTCCATCCCTCACTCCTACAAAACATACCAAGTCCATCCCTCACTCCTACAAAACATACCAAGTCCATCCCTCACTCTTACAAAACATACCAAGTCCATCCCTCACTCCTACAAAACATACCAAGTCCATCCCTCACTCCTACAAAACATACCAAGTCCATCCCTCACTCCTACAAAACATACCAAGTCCATCCCTCACTCCTACAAAACATACCAAGTCCATCCCTCACTCCTACACAACATACCAAGTCCATCCCTCACTCCTACACAACATACCAAGTCCATCCTCAATCCTACACAACATACCAAGTCCATCCCTCAATCCTACACAACATACCAAGTCCATCCTCACCCTGCACAACACACCAAGTCCATCCCTCACTCCTACACAACATACCAAGTCCATCCCTCACTCCTACACAATACTACAAGTCCATCCCTCACTCCTACAAAATATACCAAGTCCTTCCCTCACTCCTTCACAACATACCAAGTCCATCCCTCACTCCTATACAACATACCAAGTCCTTCCCTCACTCCTACACAACATGCCAAGTCCTTCCCTTACTCCTATACAGCATACCAAGTCCTTCCTTCAATCCTACACAACATACCTAGTCCTTTCCTCACTCCTACACAACATACCAAGTCCTTCCCTCACTCCTACACAACATACCAAGTCCTTCCCTCACTCCTACACAACATACCAAGTCCTTCCCTCACTCCTACACAACATACCAAGTCATTCCCTTACTCCTATACAGCATACCAAGTCCTTCCTTCAATCCTACACAACATACCTAGTCCTTCCCTCACTCCTACACAACATACCAAGTCCTTCCCTCACTCCTACACAACATACCAAGTCCTTCCATGCAGAGTTAATCACCATCTATTAAGTCTCTGATTCTTGTTTTTCATTCGACTTCTGAACTGTAATAAATTATGGTCACTGTAAACTACAATTCTCTGGTAGGTGTTGCCAAGATATATGTTAAACTTTTCCAGTGCCATAAGCAGAGTCACAGCTTCTTTCTCTATAGTAGAGTAATTCCATTGCACCAGCCCCAACATCACTGGTAAAACATAAATTTTACTTACGAACCATTCAAAATCCTTTCTCTGCCTCGTCCAGTTCAACACGACTTCAATCCATCTGGCAGTCGAACCCTAGGCCTCCATCATCCACAACAGGTACCTTGCCAGTGAGCCACCATACTGTGTTGAATAGTATATACACCAGTGTCAACATTAGATCGGGTCAAAAAGGGCATACATATTTTAAATTGCAATTTAGAATTTGTTATAGTCTTGAAAAGTTGCTCCTATATAAAGTTTATCAAACTCCAACATATGGTATTAGTCCTGCATTATTACAGTAAATGATGGCACCAATTTGCAGCCCTTAACTAATACTACGTAGATCAATCCATACTATTAATACTGAAATGTGCTCCTTTATTTGGGTTACTTGATCAACAAACACCTTTCCCTCAATACCAATATTTTGTTCTTTTTTCCATCAGTATATAATACAGTTATCTCTTATTTTTCCTCTTCAGTGTACAACAGTTTACATTACCCGTCATCATCTCTGTCGTTTGCCTCGAGCTGCTGGAGGCTGCCCATCATCCGTGCCTCCACACTCGCCTATTTTATTTTTCTAAGGCGTGCATTTTCACCAATATGAAGGCCCCAATTTATGATATATGTGTTAACAAATTATGTTTGATGAATTTTGTTCACTTCTTTGATAACTGTGAGTCCGGGGAGGAAGAGGTGTTGATAACAACTGAGGACCTATCCAGAGTCATAGGGCAAAATGGATGTGGTGAAAGAGAATGTAGTCAATTTTACCACAAAGTTTACAAACAGTGCGGCCAGGCCAAGATGCTAATGTACTCGGCGTGAAAGTACAGTGGGGGTGACCAAGTGATACGGTGTGTAGGGCAGGTACAATGGGGTGAGTGGGAATAGGCATTGACAACATTGAGGGACACACCTTTAGTGTATCTGTGATGGTGTGCGCGTCGACATGTCGGTGGGGGTACAGGTAGCCGGGGGTGGTGTCTCAGATAGCCCTGGTGGAGACAGCTCAGACACAGGGGTGGCGCGGCTTGCGGTGGGTGGAGGACAGGCTGAGCACTGCCTGTGAAAATGGGGGCAGGACTTCGAACAAAGGCAGGACACACCGGGCAGGTCCGGTAGGCACTACACCAGTAGTGAAGGCCGCAGGCAGTAGAGCAAGCCGGGCAGGGGCTCACAGGGGACTACCAGCTTGTGTCAAACCTGAAGAGAGAGGAGTGACTGTAACAACAGAAAGAGAGGTGGGAGATGGTGGTACAGAGTGTAGCGAAGAGTTTTCAATACGGTTGGTATCTTGGAAGAGGATAAGGATCTGTGTCATGTCACTGGCGGGGGTTGTGGGGGGCAATTGATGGGAGCATGAGCCTGACAGCGTCAGGGTAAAGACAGGGAGGAGGCCCAGTAGCAGTGAGTTAGAGACAGCCAGGACTGCTGTGTTGTAGCCAGGAGAGGCAGGCAGCAGGTGTTGTTGAGAAGGCGTTATGGACAGAGGGCACACACAGAGGTGTGGCCGGAAGACTGGGG